TCGTCAAAGAGACAAGTGAAGCCGATCCTTTGATCAAACGTGTGCTAAACAGTTGTGGTATCTCTCCTGCTCTGGGCTATTCACATTTCCTATATCATCGTATCACGCCTTCACTGTTACAATTTTTACTGTGTTTATTTAGAGGTAGTGTAGTGTGCCCTTTTGAGCGGCGTTCATGAGAACCCTCCACACTCCACACTGGCGTCCTCACCCCCTTTTAACCCTTGTGCTGGGAATGTTGATCAGAGTCTGCCATATTGTTACGCAGTTCTTCTTCTCTAGGTATTATCACAGTCTCTATCTTGCCTCGTAAGATCTGTCTGCTCTCTTCTTGATTCACATATTTCACTCGACCCCTGCCACCCTATCTGTGCTATTCGAGTCGTTATTACCTATCCCCTGCGTCTGGGTGGCTAATTCGAGGCTAAAGCCCCTGAGTAAGTCTCATCGTCAAGCCTTTGCTACATGGACCACGTCTCTGGTATAACAGGCTACCTTCAGTCAACTAGCTCTAGTCTCAGCTTCGTCTCATTTTTCTATCCCTAATACTAAGTCCATGACTTACTATGTCCTAGTCTTTTGTGTGCAAACCCAAAAAAGTTGTGGATCAACATTAAACCCAGTCAAAGCCAGGAGTACCATAACATTTGTGGGTTGACACGCAAGAGACTAGGGCATAGAAAGTGCTAGACGGTAGGTTTTATCAGAGGCGTGGTCCATGTATCAAAGGCGTGACAATGAGACTTACTCAGAGGCTTTAGCCTCGAATTAGTCACCCAGACTCAGGGAATGGGTAATAACGCCTCGAGTGGCACAAATGGGGTTGCAGGGGTCGAGTAAAATACTTGAGCCAGGGCAATAGCAAACGGATTCTACTGGGCAAGCTGAAAACTCTGATAAGACCTAGGGCAGGAGGACGGCATAACAATATGGCAGACTCTGGTCAACATTCCCAGAACAAGGGTAAAGGGGAGGTGGAAACCTTAGTGCGGAGTGTGGAGGGTTTTCATGAACGGCGCTCAAAGGAGCACACGACACTACATCTAAATAAGCACGGTAAAATTGTAACAGTGAAGGCATGATAGGAGGATATAGAAAATGTGAATAGCCCAGGGCAGGAGGAATGATACAACAATTGTTTAGCACATGTTTGGTCAAAGGATCGGCTCCACTTGTCTCTTTGACGAGTTGTAGTGTGGTGCTAAGAGTGGCGAAACTCACTGACGATGCCGACGCAACGTCTGAGAATGTACCACGTTCACGGTCCCACTCGAATTGATCATGCATACAATGTACTCGGGAATAGATGCGTTCCTTTAAGTCTTCCTTTAAGTCTTCCTTTTTCTGTGGACCTTTGTCATCTTAGTTTCGCGCTATTTTCACGCTTTCCATGCTTGTATTTTAAACATTTTATATTTTTCACTTTCTTCCCTTTTCTCTTCCCTGCGAGACCCATTTATTGTGGCGTATGAGAGATGTTTTAGATCTTCTCAAATATCCTTTGTTACAAGTTGATTGTAGCAAAGCGCTTACGTCCCTTTCCCTCCCTTTATTTCATGAATTGCATACATTGCAGCTATGTACATTAAATATGTCTCAAGGTCCTTTGATTGAAAATGAATTGTCAGCTATAATGCTGTAACGGGTTTAATAGGCCGTTTTTATAATTTTGTCTTTTTTTACCCTAGAATCATCTCCATTTCATTCTAATTACCTTAACTATGTTATTTCTTTCTTTTAAATTTATTTTCAGCCCAATGATCAAGTGATTTCAAATCCTGTTCCTCTTATACTTGGAGCCTTGCCTGCTACCTCACATGGTTAGTTTATTTTTGCTATTTTTAGGCTTTATGACATCAAAGGTATGAAGATCAAGATGCTGTGGCCCTTTGTGTGGTCGGAGTCTCCTTTCGTTGTATAGAAGTTGTTTTACCTTATTTTCGCAACTTGGTCATATTTGTAGGAAGACTTAGAGAAACGCACCTTGTCGGGATCCATTGCATGCATCATCATTTCCAGAGTAGGTACACGGTGTGTGTGTGTGCCAACCCACAAGCGTTGTGGTTCAACATTGAACCTAATCAAAGTTAGCAGTACTACAACATTTGTGGGTTCGCACACAAGCATCTAGGGCATGGCAAGTCATAGACTTAGTATTAGGGATAGAGGCAGGATAGACGAGGCGGTGATTGGAGCTAGTTGGCTCACAGTAGGTTTTACAAGAGACGTGGTCCATGTAGCAAAGGCATGACCATGAGACTTACTCTGAGGCTTTAGCCTCTAATTAGTCACTCAGAAGCAGGGGTGGGTTAATTACGTCTCTAATAGCACAGATGGGGGGGAGGGGGCAGGGTTCGAGTGAAATACATGTACTAGGGAGATAGCAGACGGATTCTACGGGGCGCGAGGGAGACTTTGATAGGACCCAGGGAAGGACTACGTAACAATATGACACTTTCGTCGACATTCCCAGCACAAGGGTGAAGCGGGTGATAACGACAGCGTGAAGTGTGAAAGGTTTACATGAATTCCGCTCGAAGGAGCACAACACTACATTAAAAATAAGCACGGTAAAAATTTTGACAGGGAAGGCATGATAGGACGATACAGGAAATGTGAATAGCCTAGGGCACACGTTTGGTCAAAGGATGGGCTTCACTTGTCTCTTTGACGAATTGCAATATGCTGCTACGAATGGCGAGACTCACTGACGATGCCCGAAAAACGTCTGGGAATGTACCACGTCAACGTTCCTACTCTGGAAACGATGATGCATACAATGGACTCCGGGATAGGTGCGTTCCTTCTACCAATATGACCAAGTTGCGAAAACGAGGTCAAACAACTTTTATGACATTAATTTTAATTGGTCGTGTTACTAAGTCTCTATATTGGGCTATCAGCTCAGAATGCTAAAGTTTTTGATTTCTTACCGAACTTTAGCAAGTTTTCCCGAAAACTTCTGCTATACTTTGAGTATTACTCTAATAGTTATATTAGGCCTCGCAATGCACATCAATTATTATTTCACCTTTGCTCCAGAGCGCATTTATATTGTCTTTTGGGTTTACAGAATACGCCTGCTTAGGCTTACTTCGCATCGCTTATCAGAAGGCTTTCCGCCTTGTAAGCCTTTCTATTTAATGTGATTCATTCTTCCTACTTTTGAGTTCCAATTACAAACAACACCATTGGCGAGCCTCTGGCAGATATTGCAAAATAATGGTTCTTGAGCTGCAACCATAGCTGCTGATTGCATATCTTTGCTTTAATATCCTATTCGTTCGCCGGCATTTATGCATATACATACAGAATTGCTTATATTACTTGTTGAATTCCTAATCTCATGGGCTATAGTAGAATTCTGTATTAGAACGGAGATAAACTATCGGCAAATTTTCGTAAATGATTATGTCCTCTGTAATAAAAATCGCTTGATGTAATTTAAAAAAGAATAGGAGAAGCTATAGAATGAAATATATGAGATATATTCAACCTATTTCGTTTAAGTTGATAAGGGGAATGGTAGTTGAATTTTCTCACAATGACAAGAATAGCCTCACGTTTCCTTTGAATTTTACATAGCCTTGCCTCTCAAAGGGTATTTTTGTTCAAGGTAGACTGCAGTTTTGACTTCGCCTAGGCCTTATCGGCACCTCCAGTGGGACTCGTATCCGGGTAATGTATCTTATAGTCTCGACACGTTATCATCTACACTACGATGCCACGAGTTCTCTTGAATCTCCGGGCTGACTTGAATTTCAAAGAAGGCGATGCCTTTCAACTATCATTTTCTGTGGTGGGATTGTAGATTAAGCAAAGTTGAACTTGCTATTACAATTGACTGCATTACTTATTCCCATTTATCTGTAGATTTTGAGACCACCAGTAGATATGTACCAGTAGCATCTATATTTTTTCCGATATATATATATGTATATAATAGATGTATTCCCCCTCATTCGTTAACTTGATAAAGGTGGAAGTCTTGAAACCTACTTATTGACAAAAAACTAGATTGAAATGCTTTATCCATACACACCCACACTCCTTCCTTTTTTGCCTTGTGCAGCTTCCACAAAGTCTAGCACAGGCCCGTCATCTGAGACGGTTCACTCAGAGCCGCCTCCTAAAGCTGTAGACAACGGATCTCCGGCATCACTTAGAGTTTGTCAGCCAGACACTTCGACTCT